TACTTTGACTCATCTTGGTTAAAACTGTACACTTGACATCAGGCAAGATAACTTTATGAACTCTGCTGAGTAATGGTCTATTCCATGTATTATCTAGTGCTCTTCCCCTTCTTTTCTGATTGCTGTTCAGGCAGATACTGTTACAATATAAACAGGATAACAGGAAAAAAAAACTGGATTAGTATAATTAAGATCTACTTTTTATTAGAGATAAGTAAAAGGAAGTCATACACACAAATTCATAATCCACTTTTCTACTGTTGAGGGAGTTTCCATAGGAGTGTATCAGGATATTTTACCACACTAATTTCCTTCTCAAGAAAAGAAAAAGCCTATAAAGGCATTTATTCATTGTCAACCATGCTCCCTACACCTCAGGCCACTTATATCTTGACATTCTTCCCAACAGAACCACGGTCAGTACACTAGGATGCATGTAAGAGTACATGGTTTAAGTGGGGAGGATGGGTTCTTCACTGTTTGTAAGAGATTGGTTTTCTGGAGTTGTATCAACAGCCCTTCCATTGAAAGGCCCATTTCCATAATCACAGACATTGAAGTGGATGCGATTATCTTCATCCTAAGTTTTTCTTTAAATAGCCCCAGTCTGCTACAGACATGTATAGTTAGAAATGTTGAGTCTAACCACGCCAAACTGAGATACTCAACCACAATCACTGAAGATTTAACTTTGCCAGAATTAATTTTAATGGGTGAATCCTACACTTCCTCCAAATTCCTATACAGTGCATCATAAAAACTTTTATATTTTAACAAGATGAGAAAGAAGAAAATTAGTATGTAGAGAATTCTGGGAATACTAGTGAATGCTGTACACTAAATAAAGCATTTTGTATACCTAATCTACTTTAATCTTCACATCATTAAAAAGGTAGATATTCTTATCACCCATATTTTAGACAAAAACATGAGGTTTAGTAAGGTCAGGTAAACTTCCTCAGGTCCCACAGCTACTGAGGTTTGGGACTGGGATTTCAATGCAGGCTATTTGGACTCCAAAGCTCCTAAATTCAAACTCAGGCAAGAGATTTAGAATCCAGATATCCTAAAAGGTATTTGGAATTTGGGGACTCCTTTAAAGCATCTGATGTCACAAAGATAGTAAATGTCTTGCTAAACTTAACTCAATTTATCCTCTTTTAGAAGAAATCAGTTATTCACAAACACAAACTGAGAGGCTTCAATAAACTTAGATAAAATTATAAAAGTAGCTGTAGGTCTTTTAGATTCAGTACTGTGATGACTTTTCTTATGGTTTAGTACTCCTGCAACTTGACCTAGTCCATTTACTTCCTGGAGATAAGCAACCAGCTCTCAAATCACTAGTAAGAAGGTATTCCACATGAGGTATCTCAAGCTAGACCAAAAATCAAGAGTCAAATTTCTATCTCTCACCTACTGGGTTATATAACACTGACAAGTTCATGAATTTTTTCTGAGCTTCTTTCCTCACCACGGATACAGTAAAGACGTTCAAAGATGCCATTAAGGTCCTTTCAAATTCTAACACCATATGACATTTAGAATCTCTTCTTAGATATAAGAAGCAGAAGTAACGTTGGATAAAACCTCTAAGACAATCTATGTGACAAACACCAGGCCAGGATATCTGCTTTCAGGCAATTAGGTGTCTTTCTTCAGTATCTAAGTTATAGTAGTGGTGGTAATGATAGGAATAATAGTAGCATAGCTAAGATTTATTGGGCACTTGCTACGTGCAAACCATCAAACTAAGAACTCTACATGTATTGTCTGATATCTAAACCCAACATAACAATATATGAGGTAGACACTATTATTTTTCTAATTTTCCAAAGAAGTAATAAAGAAACAGAAAGATTAGGTAAGTTGACTGGGTCTGTACTCATAATAAGTGATGAAACTTAAAAGAGCTCTAAACATGTTTCCCGTCCTAGTCTGTATCCTTTCTGAGGACAAGAACTTTGCTTTATTCATTTAGCTTAGCGTTGTGTCTGACAAATAATTAGTGGGCATCCATTTACTACATAGATAAAAAGAAGAAAGAAAATGAGTAAGGGAGGGGGGAAGGGAAGGGAAGGGAAAAAGAAATTATATTTAGATATTCTTAATAAATGTTGATTTTCTTCCATTATTTTTTTTAATCCTATCACAGAAAAACCTGTAATTATGCCCATGAATCCTGGTGCTTGGTGATTTCTCCTTTCTGGGGATTCCGTACTATAATTTCTGGTATAAGTCAGTGAAGCAGCTACCATTATCTGGTGTAGTAAGCTAGCTAATCAATGTTCTTATCTCATCTCTTAATTTCTAATGTTGAGACTAAATGAAGAATATAGTTTATTCTACCACACTAAGATTCTAGGGTGGAAAAAGAAAAAAAGAATGTCCTTGATACTGGCCTCTCACACACTGGTGTAAACTAAGGTGAAAGGAAAACTGTTCCCAGAGGAAAGGTATTTCCAAGCCTACCGGTACCTATAATAACATTAACTAGCAGTACCAAAAATTGAGAGGTCTAAAAAAAACGTTTTGATGCACTAGACAGACATTGGCTCTTTCTGCACCCCTGCCATTGTCACGTGACTGCCGAATGACACACAAAATGGATCTTGAGAGGGACCTATCCAAAGCAGGTCTTAACTATATGAGCTTTATCTCTACTTATTTACAGTTAAAATTTAGTGAATAACAGAAACCATAATTATAAACATGTATACAGCAAACATAGGCCCCATTACTTATGTTTAGCAAAAACAGTTATACAGAGTTTTAATATAATCTGATCTTATCGGACCCAAAGAAAGTTAACATACATTTTATTTTTGTGTTTTCAGTGAGGTAGAGATTGGGAAAGGAGAGGGGGTGGTGGTGAAACAGAAACAGACAGAAAGAGAGGGAAAGATGGAGAGAAAGTGATTGTTCAGGGAACCTATGGAATTGATCATACAACGCAGATTTGTTTACTCCTATGCTGTGAAGTATTTCTAAAGTTACCAGTAACTTAGTCATTGAATGCCTCAGCATTGTGTAAAAAAAAAAAAAAAAAAAGGTATAATAAGACTTTTCTCATAGTCAGCAAAAATAAAGTATATTACAAATAGTGTTATGTAAATTCTTGATTATAATGAGGATCAATTCTTACATATTCATTTCTCATTTTAAGGACAGAATTTATCAGTAGTCTCATCTCTGTCTAATCAGCAGCATGAGTACTAGAAGTCCAAAGACCCATTCAGAATGTATAAAAAGTAACAAATTTCTAAGACTCTCTATTCCACTGTTTCTAATACAACTCCAGCCATGTTTTATTCATATATGCATTCATTTCTTAATGACCACCTACTATGTATAAAACATTGTATTAAAAGGCTGTGGATAATCCTCTACCTATCTCAGCACCTGTGTTTCTTACTCCCAAAGAGGTTAAATCCATATTATGATGATTTAAAAAAATTTTAAATGGATTGATAAAAAGAAAAGATACACAAGCTCTAAGATTTTGTTACTAAATACTAATGGAAACTCCTTAGGATTTTTAAAAAATATAGTATTGTTAAGGAGAGCAATGCAAGTTATTTGAATAAGTTTTCAATATCAGGAATTTGGGACTACCAAATAAATTATTTACTTAAATACTTTTTTGTATTAAGTTGCCACTTTTTATATTGCATTTTAAGAGCTTCACCTAATTAGCATAAGATACAGTTTCTAATAGCTTGTCTACACTAAAAATTTAGATATTTATCAGAAAATAGAGCTACTGACGTTTAAAACATCAACACTTATGAAAAAATACCAAGTGGCACGGATTTGATGAAAGTAAAGGTTAATATTCCACCCTTAAAATCTACACCTGGATTTTATCCCCCTGTCTAGGACTACCATTAAGTAAGTTTTACTTTTTTCCCCTCTCACTTCCATCCAACTGCAACAGACACATGAACAAATCAAGAAATCATCTTACAATATACCCTTAAATTTTGTGAATATGCCCCATGTGTCCACTAATAGCCAAATGCTTTCAAATCTGTTCAGCTAAATGGATCAATAACTGCATCCAGCCTCATATAGTGGGGTTGCCAACATGGTGAAACTGAGCCAAACACAAAATGTCTCTACCAGGACAAAAATTATTATCCACCCAGTAATCTGAGAGATCTACTTTCCCCCAGGTATCCTTTAGAGAAGTTAACATACACATTACCTAGGGCAGTCAACAGCTAGTTAAAAAGTATATATATTTGAGACTCAGAATGAAGGATTTGGAGAAAATAATGAGTTTTATAATAAGCCAATGTAATAGTTCAAGGTCTACAGCAAGTAGGAATCTTTCACACTCAGAGTACACAAAATACGTAACAGTGCGAGCAAACTGCTAACAAGCTTCTCTGTGCGCTCACTCATATGACACAGCTGCAAGAAACAATTGAGCAGGTGCAACCAAGCTTTTGAGAATTCCTGCCTGTTGCCCAGGAACCACAACACTGCACAGTTGAGATTTTAAACAGTTGCAAACATTTTTTTGTCCCATAACTGTAGTGCTTGAGACAGTGCAGCAGACAGTACATCTGCAACCACTCCTTACCTAAAACAACCACCACAGAAAATAAACTCACAGCAACAAAAAAAAAAGTTTGAAAATAAAACAATAATGTCAAAAACAGTGGTTTTGCAATAGTCTCTGACCCCCTATCAGCAATTGCTTTAATAATAGAGTTCCATAAAATACTCTCTAATCTCTTCACCAGATGAATGCTTTGTAATTAAAATTATTCTGCCTCATCAAATCTTAGAAATGTTTATTTGATTCTTACAATGGAGTGAAATGCAAGGTATGTATAAAATGCGTTCTCCTTTGAAGCTGTCAATATTAATAAGTACTCAAAAATTAACATTTTCACATTATGAAATCTGTAAGCAATTTTAATACACAAAATTGTAATAACTTGCCAGCTTATACATAGATTTACATAACTATAGGTAATTCATATACATACCTGTGCAGCTAAGGCACACAGACAGACGGTGCAGTTTATCAAGCACTCTGAAATACAAAACAAATATAGAAGTAAAAATTAATTTCTAAGTGGAGCCAGTATTTATGCTGAGGCAGTCTCTGCAGAGAAATAGAAAAGACTCCTGTCCTTAAAGAGGTGGGTAATTTTATATCTATATTTTCCCCAGAGGATATTTCAGACTACCCCAAATTCATATGTGTGAATAAACACACACAAAGAGTCCCTAAGCACTGTTATCAAAAACAAGTACCAGCAAGGGACTGAGGCTCACCATGGGCCCTGAAATGAAATGCTTTCACTAGAGGACGAGGCAAAGACTTAAAAGTGATTTTTTTTGATACTCTTTCAACACTATTGCCTTCCTAAAACAAATATGACGCTACTCTCTAAAAATGAAACCACTCAGATTCATCTGCACCCAGTTTGGATAGAACACTGGTGAGGAAGAAAGGTGCTTTTGTAGGGCAGTCCATAAACATGCATAAATAAATAAATAAAAGTAATCTTTGAATGCTCATTAACTTCAGGTTACAACAGCAAATAGAAATGAGTATTGTTTACCTACAAGATCGAACCCTAAAGTCACACCAGATAGAATGCCCCAACCCAACACACTTTAAGAAAATTGCCAGTGATGTGGTATCAATACAGAAGATAACTGAAATTCTTCTGGCTCGAAGTATGCAGTTTACAACTAGACCTGAAACACATTTGTATGTAGGTGGAAACTGTACTGCAACATGTAATCTCTGAGCTACTCTGACCCTTGAAAACATTTCATAATTCTTTCTGAAAGCAAACTGATATGTTTAATTTATATACTTCTGAGTATAATGAATGAAGGTAACATATTCAAGTCAGTAAGTCTACTGAGTTAACCCTTCCTTAAAAGCATGTAGAGGAAATAATCCATTTGGATGGTGGCTCAATGAAACACCATCTTCATACACTTCTGATGGGAGTGAGAATTGCTATAAATTTTCTGGAAAATGACTGAGTAATGTGTATCAAAATCTTTACTCAGTCGTTTTCAGTTCTAGGAATCTATCTTACAAAATTGGAAACCATAAATCTAAAAAAGAAAATTTTAATAATAGCAAAAAACTAAAAGCAAACTAAATGTCCAACAGTAGAAAAGTAATTAAATAAAGTATGCACATCCATGTAAAGGAATAGTTTGTAACACTCCAAAAGGTAACTTGTGGTACTATAATGCTATATAAACCATATAGAGTGCCAGTTGCATGGACATAATGAAATTGTGTAGATGAGGAAAAAAACAGAAGGAACACACAAAAATATTAAGTGATTATATCTGGATGATAAAATTACGGATAATTTTAATTTTTGCTTTTTAGTTTTGCATATAAACTCTACAGTAAACATTACTTTTATAATAGGAAAAATATTAGCTAGCAGGGTAGGAATAAAAGAAAAAGTTACAGACTGGCATATGGAAGTCATAAATCTAACCTTCATAAGTGAAATAAATTAATTCAGTCACACATAAAATCCATGAAGTATACCTAGAGTGAGAAACTCACTCACTGCTTCCTCAGAGGGGTATGGCCAGGGTCTCTTTCATCCCACGGCTTTAGAATCTACACCAGTAATTCAATAACACATTTTAAATCATCTCAGTTAAACTTCTTTAATTATGCAGAGTGAAGTGATGGCAAGAACAATTTAGGACTGCAAATTTGTTCAACTTATTACCAACTAATTTATTCACTAAGTCAACAATATTTAGTGAGCATCTAGTACATGCAAAGGGTTGTATTTGACATTATGATATGCTAAAAGACAGAACACATCTTACCCTCATAGAGTTAACTGTGTAAAAGTGCTAAAAAAAAATATATGTTCACACACCTTCCTATTAATTTTGCTGAGAATCCAACACTATTCTTAAAAAATTAAGTCTTAAAAACAAAAAAAAACAAAATAAAAACTATGTACATATAGCTTATATAACGCAATAGTTTAAGGTATTTGTGACAGATATGGTACACGTTATTTTTTTAATGTATATATATATATATTTGTGTGTGTGTGTGTGTGTGTGTGTGTGTGAAAGAGAGAGAGACAGAGAGAGAGAGAGGGAGGGAGGGAGGGAAGGAATGAGTAGGGGAGGGGCAGAAAGAGGGAGACACAGGATCTGGAGCGGGCTCTGTGTTGACAGCAGACAGTCCAGGGCAAGGCTCAAACTCACAAACCTGTAAGATAATGACCTGAGCTGAAGTTGGATGCTTAACCAACTGAGCCACTCAGGCACCCCAGATATGGTACCTTTTAAAACAAGAAAACATATATCAGGCTTCTCTTTTCATATTATTGTACAACAACTGATACTTAGATAACATTCAAGAAAAAGTCATGAGTACATGAGTGTGTATCACTTATAAAATGCCCTAATAAATTAAGTGTTCAGTTTTATTTCTTATGCGATCTACTTTTTGTTAATAGAGAATTATATAACAGGAGAACAGGTTGAAGGCATATTAATCCAAAATCAGATGTCAATGTCTAAGCCAGTCTCAGATTATGTAAGGCTACAAAAAACATGCTCACAATTATTAACAGGCTATAGTTATTTATTGGCAACTAAAGTAAATAAGTGGTTACTTGCTAACCTTGCCAAACATACTGTTATAATACTACCAGAGAAAAGAAAGGAGACAGGAGTGGACAGACTAAATGCTGAGGGAATCTCTAACAGCAGAAGGTGGGGGTGGGTAAGACCATTTTTGTTGTGCAGATAAAATGATGCAACACAGAGTTTCTCTTAATAGAAGTTCAGCTTCCTTTTGGCCTGTAACCATAATGTAACCATTATGTGCCCCTCTGAAGCGAATGACACACGATGGTTTTGAGGTTTGGTCAATGGGGTCAGCCTGTGTGAAGTGGTGCCAAGAATGAAAAGAAACGACTCATGTGATCAATGATCTGTAGTTCTGGGACCCTCAGAGTTCTAGACAGCAGCAGAGTTATATGAGGTAGCATGGTGGTTAAGGGATCAGCTTTTGCCATCAGACAAGGTGTAATTGAATTCCAGCTCCCTCTCTTTGTGTGGTCTTGAACAAGTGACATTTTCCCTGTCTGTCAAATAAAGGTCATGTTACCTACTCTATAGGATTGTTAGTACCTATTACATGTTATAGGTATATAATGGAACCAGCACAGTGCCTGCTATAAAGTGAGCATTGCTGAAGGGAAGCTATTAGTATGGCCCTACTTGGATGACAAAAGGAGAGGATGTCTGTCTCTTTAAGCTAAAGTGGTAAACTAAGCAGTGAGTAAGGAGATAGAAAGACAGCTTACTCAAGACATCACTCTATATTCCACAACTCATCCAGGAGCCAGTCTGGATGTTCAGAGTATCTCTGAATCAGGAAATTGTAACAACAGTAATAGCCATAGCACCCAGCCCTACCCAGCCTTTTAAACTACCATTCCTATTATTTAAGAAGAAGGCAGTAGAATCTCAGTAACATGTGCCCATTTTTCTGAATGAAAATAAAAGCTTATTGTCCATATAACTGACACAATCAGGAAATAGAAAATAAGGATGGCATAAGTGTAATTATTCAACAAGAATTAGGCCAAGGTGTTTTGGGCCCCCAAACTAATCACATGTGGCAGAACCACCTTTTTAGGTTTTCTAAAGAGACCCTGAGGGGCGCCTGGGTGGCTTAGTCGGTTAAGCGTCCGACTTTCGCTTAGGTCATGATCTCACGGATCGTGGGTTCGAGCCCCGCGTCGGGCTCTGTGCTGACTGCCAGCTCGGAGCCTGGAGCCTGTTTCAGTCTGTGACTCCCTCTCTCTCTGACCCTCCCCTACTCACGCTGTCTCTCTCTCTCTCTCTCTCTCCTAAAAAAATAAATAAATAAAAAATAAAGAGACCCTGAAAATGACCTGAGTTCACATAGAATACAAAGTTTTCAAATATAATAAAAAATATTATAGTCAGTTTTTCTCTCATGGTTTGGAATATATCAGTGAGTGTATAATGACGTTGTTATGACCATTCTGATTTCTGTTTTGATTTGGAGGACAGCACAGATCTAGAACGGTTAAGTGGTATCTTGAGAATCTCTAGAATGGTTTGGGTCACATGAGGGTGAAGTTGCTATCAGTACCATTCCAGATGAAGATATACTGTAGAGGATTTGTGTTAAGTTCTTTTTACTTCTAGGCTGGCATGGCTGTATTCCCCAGTGGGGACAGAATAAGTCCAACTTGGTGCTGTGAAGTGCAGGAAAGTTTATCTTCCCTCTATACTGGTTAGGCCTGACTAGACATGGAAGAGGCACTCAGGTGGTGTCTCCTGGGCCATTAACAAATTGAATAGCTAATTCATTTAAGGCACTGAAAAGGGCCTCAGCAGGGTCTGCAGCGGACAGTGGCTTCATAAAAGAACTCTGAACCTAAATTAGACTACAGACCATTTCCCCAGTGACCTAGTGAGCATCCTTAGAAACATCTTAAGTGCTTTACATTTTAAGTCTGACCTATTTTGAGAAATGACACTATGTGATCCAAAATATTTTTTTTCAAATGTGTTTACTTTTGGACACACTACTGATCTGAGCTTGGTGCTCTATCATTATTACTTTGTTATTATAAAATGTTGAATTTAATCATCAATAGAGCCAATTTAATTTTTTAAAATTGAGGTGCACCAATTTCTGTGGTTTTATCTGAACAGAAAGGCTATGAAGAATAAGAGGAATTATAATTTTAAAAGTAGACTTGAAAAACTAGTTAATTATGCTTATTTTTAAAATAAATTACTAAGCTAGATTTAGCCCTTCGCTTAAAAATCTATCTTCCAATGAGAAAGAGGAAGTATGAGAAGCAACAGTTATCTATTTATCTATTCTATGAAATGGAAATAGATAAAGGATAGTAAGGAAGGAAAAGGGAATCATATGATAAACACCCGTTAACCCAAGAGCACAGCAGGTCTCTCTAAACCTCAGGTCAGACCAGCTGTAATGAAGCCACTACCTGTATGAAAACCTAA